TTGAGCATCCTCCATGCCTCTTAAGTTCTTGTCCATTTTTATGTACAAAATTGTGAAGTCAGGATTAGATCCAGTTCTGACTTTTCCTTCTTAAAGCCTTACTACAAGATTTTTTCCCTGTACTTTATGTACCACATTATAAGAAGGTTTTATTCAAATGTGACTACAGCTAGCATTATCTGAAAGAAAGCTTTTTGATGATTATCTATCAAGTATTTTATTCAGTTTAAAAAATACTGATTATTTCCTTATGTATAGTCTTTTCTTCATCTAGTGATAGTTCATTTCAAATACCAGGGTGCTCAATTTATGAGCATATCATATACAGAATTATACCATGGTTTACTCTGCACCATTGCACAAGACATGAAAACACTCCTTTGTTCCATATCCCACATCACTGGTTGTAGTTCAGGGAAGAGCATGTGTTCTTCAGCAGGGTCAAGGAAAGTCATATTGCAGCTGGTACTGCTTCTGACACATGAACAAGTGTAGCTTTTCTGTAGGATAAGTGAGAACTTGGGGAGAAAACTCTATTCTCCAAGAAAGCATGAAGTTGTGGTTTAGATCAAGTATAAGTATGAAAAGTCAGTGAGTGCCCCAGAACCAGAGAAGTCATTGAGTGAAGGCAGAGGAAGAATATCCCATCATTACTGATTAAGTATAGAAGAGAAAATTGTAACTGACATATGTATATATATATATATGTGTGTGTGTGTGTGTGCAGATTGACAACATGAGCCTGATTCTGGGCCATCTTGTGGAGTTGAATGATAAAATTGAAATCTCAACTTCTCATGTTTTCTAATCTTCCTGACAGGAACAGAAAATTGGAAATAGGACACCAGTGGTACCTGTGTAGATTCTAATAGCTGTGAGTGTGCAGGCAATGCTGTCATCACTCTGAACTTTTCTTAATTTAGTAGCCCACTTCTGTGGGGTAACTTGTCACTGTTCTTGTATCAGCAAATTCCGTTTTTGCAGTCTTATTACATTGAGGCTTGTTCAGTAATATTGTCAGTTGTTCTTCACCCCATTCTCCATGCAGACAGTTCTTCTAATGGTTAATTTTGTTTACCAAAAACTCCAGAAAGTGTAGGACAATTTTGTAGAAATGTCCCCCATCTTCCCAGCCAAAGGGACACCAAAGAGAAAGGGTTAGGAATAAAAATAACATCACTCAAACAGAACTTTTGGAGATTGTCTCTATTATGGCTGCTGTGAAAAAAAGGTGCAATCTAAGCACTGAGATTTCCAGGGCAAGGCTTGTGAGGGATTGTTGGGCCATTTTGTATCTTACTCATATATTTGCCTTGGAGTCCAAGCTATTTTGCAGCTATCTAGTATGTGACAGCAAAAGTAGACAATGGAAGATGAAGAAATTTGTTCTTAGGTAGAAAAGGTCTTTGGTGTGTTTTCATAGACTTCAGAAGATTGTGAGAGACTGCTAACAATTACTGCCAGTGATGAATAAGACATGTTTTTTAAATGTTAGTGATTACATTGCAAAGCTAGCCTGCATATTTTTGTAGCACATTTGCCCACAGGTTTAAATAATATCAATGGAAATTATTTTAACATGTTTCATAAATGTGTCTCTAAGTTAATGTCCAGCAGAAGGTGCAGTGTTGTTGGTCTATTATAGATCCTGTGACTCCTAATAATTATGATTCTTTCTGTGGAGTATGGTGAAGCTTGTATGGGATAAATATTTATCAGACACAAAAATCCAAGTTTTTTTCTTAGCTGAAAAATAAAAAAATGGAAATGTTTCCCTGGAGATGTTCTCCTGCAATGCATAAAGGTCTTATAAGTATTTCTTTCCCCCATGCTTTTTAATTAACTGACTGTTAGAAGACAACTCAATTTCTGAAGGGTTCTTTTGTTCTTGCACTTAATCCTCTGTTGTTGTTGTTGTTGTTATATCCCTTGTCATTTGATAACTCTACTACTGTAACTAAATATATTTATACACTTTCCTATAATACAGCAGAGTTGAAGTAAGCAGGCAACAGTGAGGAATGATGTATAAAATATCCTCAGTAATACATTAAAAATAGATAATTAATTACAATTAATATATGTTTTATAGAAGTTTTCAAAGAGACCAGATTTTTATTGGCTTTTTAAAACAAGTTTGTAAGAAGCTTCATGAAACATAGGCCCGGAATATAAAAAGTTAATATCTTGCAACTACATTAATGTAATGTCTAGAATATTACATTACTTTGTTTCCAGAGATAATCAATGATGGTAATATAATATCTGCCTCTCAGAGCCAATGTATGATTTAAATTAATTATTGCTTATAAAGCACTTTGAAGTCTTTAGCAGTAAGGTGTTGCAAAGTGTAAAAGTACTATTATTAATTTAACATCACCATTAAAGTCAGTACTTTAAGAGCATTTGCTATACTCTGCTCAATATCTTTCTATTCATCATATGCTGCATATTAGTTATTTTAACATTTAGAAAGCTTAGTAATCTGGAAGTATTCCAAACCATTGTTCCAGACAGCAGTTAGATATTTGGGTGGATCATGTAAAAACAGTGAAATGGCTGAGAAAGCATGTAAAATGTTTGTTTTAAATAATATTACATCAATGGAACAGACATCTGCAGCACTGAACTTGATTTTAAACTTCTTTAAACTTTTTTTTTTTAGTTAACATTGTACTGTGTTTTTCTAAAATTGATGGGGGGGGGCTAATATCATGTTATTTCTAAACAAGTAGACTGTTTAATCTTTTGTTCAGTTTTCATTTCTGTTTCTGAAATATTCGTGGGAAATCAGATTTACAGTGGGCAGTTCTTAGGAGGTGGTGAACACCTGCCACTCAGTATTTTTATTGCTGTTTGATTTTGTAACCTAGTGTCAACTACCAAGATTTGTATTATCTTTTTTTTTTTTTTTTTTTTTTCAGTTTTCATTAATCTTACATCTTGTGTAAGACTTATAGAGACAGAGGTAGGCCTTGGAGGTTACAGCCTCACGAAAAGTATATAAAGTCTTTCTTCTCATACAGTGATTACATGACATAAAATAATGCTGTGTATTTACACAGTTGTTTATCTGTTAGATCTTTATATATTTATTTTATATAGATCTTTATCTAATAGATGTTTATCTATTAAATTGTCCCAGATGGAGAAAAAGAAATTGTAGGGATCCTATCCTCCATCTGTCCCAGCAGCGTTGTCTTGAATTTGTGCTTAGCTCTGGAGTTCAGTCTATGGCCTTTGTAGCCAGTTCTAAACTGGGTAAAAGCAGCCTTCATGTTCAGGATCCAACCAGACTACCCAACACTTTGGAGGTAGTTGAGGAGAGCAATCAGGTGAATAACAGATATGTCTTTGTAAGTGATATAAGCAGATGTTCCAGATTTCTAAAAGCCATATGAATTAAAAAGCCAAATGTACAAGTAAATCAATTAAAAGATTCACCTGTAAGCAGTTTGCTGAGTTGGCAGTGAGGAAGTTCCATTTTTACCATGTAGTTGAAAATGAGGATATTAATTACAGGTAATATTTTTTGAGTCTTCTCCTTGTGGTAGACATTATATTTAAAAGTACTACTTGCACTTCTAAGATTAGAGGAATCTTTCCTAGGTACTAGAAATTAATTTCCTCCTCTTCTTTGAATTTATTCTACTTTCTGAGATTAATTTAATAGGTACTGCAAATGAATTAAGCATTGAACCCTTTGATTTCTCTTGAGATTACTAAATCAGTTAACAAACAGGTTTATTATCCCTAGAATGAAATGCCATATGGCTCAGGTTCACTCATATTATATGCTAGAAGATTAAAGTATGTTCTTAATATGAAATTACACATTTCAAGATCATTTCTGACATACTAATAATAAGAAAAAGGTTTTCTTCTTGTATCAGCCAACTGGTTATTTGTATTTCCAAAAAATGCTTCTCTGTTCAAGAAAGCTAGCAAACTTCAGACTTAATTCTACACATTTCCATGCACAGGACTATCAGCAAAACTGGTCAAGTGTGTACTTCTGTGTCCAAGCACTTTTAGGGTGGAGATATTTTCTAAAAAGGTATTAAAAATGTTTAAATGTAGATACATATATCCCTAATTTATATGTCACTGGAAATATTTAGAAGTAATTAAAATAAATTTAGATCTTTTTAATGTTTACCTTAACACCTATTGATATTAAGTAGGATACATATATGCTTTCCTTTTTCAGTATAAATGTTCTTGAAATCAAGGAGCTATTTGAAAACTATGGGATATGCAGCCAAATAAATAAATTCCTCTTCACTGCAGAGCAGTCAGTCACATCAGTCATTAGCACAGTAACACTGTAGCTGCAGGGGAATTTAAGATTTTTTTACCCACGGGCTGCCCTTGTGATTCAGCAAACACTTTAAGCCAGCACTTGAGGCAGTGCTGCTACTGCAAGGAACCACGCTGTCTTTCCTTTGCTTCCAGCAGCTCATTCTCATGAACATCCTGACATGGTCCTACAGGCTAGTGTTGGCACCAGAGCAGCTGGGGAGTACAAACCTCACCTGTAGGTGGGAGAAAAAACTCTACTTCTGGTGGCAACAGTGCTGATATAGAGTAGTTTCAATTATTTGTGAGAAAACAGCCTAAATTATTTGATCAGATAGGGGGTAGAAAAATGTAGGGAAATAATGTTTGTGCTGCTATTTTGAAGTAACATCTCTTTCTCAGAAAATGTTTGGAGACCTATAAACCATGTTCATATTGTGTATTCTATGCTAGCCACAGTTTTAAAGGTAAGGTTTGTACCATTCAAAAAGAGTTGGGGAAGAGGAAGAAGAGGGGCACTTCAGATCTGCTTTGTTACTAAATAAATTAGGTGACTTCATTTACAGTTACTGTAAAAAAAATAATAATACACGGCTTCTAAATTCTGACTTTGTTCTTCATTCTAAAATATGTTAATGAAAATTGTCTACATGTCAAACCTGTTCTGAAGTAATGAGAATGATTTTTGGTTTTGTTTTCAGCACCAAAGGGAATACTCCATCTTTCTCCTGATGTATATCAAGAGATGGAAGCAAGCCGCAACAAATCAGCCCCTGGTACCACTGTAAGCTATTTGTCATCCAAAGAAATGAGCCAGACTTCTAGCTCTTTCTTCAGCATATCTCCTACAACAAATAGCACAGCCACAATTGCCAGGGAACTTCTCATGAATGGAACATCCCCAACTGCCGAAGCCATAGGTCTAAAAGGAATATCTCCTGCTTCCCCCTGTTCTACAGTGCAGCCTTCAAAACAGCTGGAATATTTGGCAAGGATTCAAGGCTTTCAGGTATGGGAGGGGGAAAATGAAGCTCTTCAGCCAGAATCATAGCGTTGCCATCAAGGCTTCACTCCTGCCCCCTTGAATGTGGGCATGCATGTAACTTATCTTGTAAAATTAGTTGGTGTCTGAGGCAGTTTCTGGGTCCAGGAGATACAGATTTCTGCCAATATATGTGTCCCTCCTCTTTTGTTCCTTCCTTACATTTATCTTACTGCAGCCCATCTTTTTCTCCTATGTCTCTTCTCCTTAAATAACTACAGGCTTAAATTATGTTTTCAAATTGCACTTCTTTGAGAGTCTTCACCTCTTGGTTTCTCCCTTCAATTCTGTTCCAGAAGCTACTGATGCACCACCTTACCTTTGCATTTGTCTTCTAGGCCAGGTCATTAAAGTAGCTTTTTTGCTTCCCACCCTGCACCTCTTAAATGTAACCTGGTGTTTTGGTTTAGGAAAGGTACTACCCAATTTAGTATCCCACTGAGACTCTCCAAACCACTGCCACACTCACTTCTCCCTTCCCTTTCCCTCCTCCCCTTGTGGTGGGCTGGAGAGGAGAATTGGAAGCATAAAAGCTAGATATCATGGATTGTGATAAGAACAGTTTACTGGGAACAGCAATGAGATAAGAAAACAAACAGTTACAGCAACAATGCTAATGGCAGAGGATAGAAGAAATTAACAATTCCCACAGAATTCCCCTGAGAACAGCCAATACCTGACCATGCCTTCTGCCACATTTACTCAACTGGAAGAGACTCCTTCCCCTAAATCTGGCAATGACATGAGGTGGTATAGAATAATGTCCAGGTCCTACCTATGGCCCCTCCTGGCAATTGCAAAAATAAGCCCTCTCCTGGCAAAAAAGAGGACATTATCCATCCCTTATTCTGTACCATATATAGCATGCCCAGATCCTATACATTCCAAGTATATATATGTATATACAAGCAGAGGTATCATTTCCAATGGCTGTTCCTGCAAGATGTCTGTTGAGTTTGTTTAATCCATGACTGTGGGTTCTGTCTGTCCTAGATGTCTTCCAGGACAGGAGGGCTGGTGTGCTGTCAGCTGGTTGCAGGCTGCATCACGAGTTCACTACTGGTGCATCTGGAGCAGTCCATACTCATTGTCCATCGCAGTTATAGCATACAGTGTCATTTGGCAGTGTCATTCAGCAGCCAATGTTATACCGTTCAACACTACAGACTATTCTCACACAACTTCCCTGTGTACCTCACTGCTGGAGGTACACAGGGAAGTTCCCTGTCCCTCTGCATTACCCACCAAATGCACCCAGGTCCTGGAGCAAAAACAATTCCATGGCTGTGTTTGCCCTTCCTTGAGGCATGACTAATCCAAGCTCTCTTCCCTAACACATTCATCATATGCACCACAGGGGCTTACAGTGGTTGCTTCTACCACAGTCAGCACATCGTGCTTGCCTTGGTGGCCTTGTGAGATCATGGTGTAATTGATCTGCCAGGCCTCCCCATATTTTGTCTATTGATCCCCACACCACAGGGACTTTTACCTTCTTGGCCTGCTTGATTGCAGCACATGTTTTGCAGATTATTCCATAACCTGGGAGATTGTATCCATGCTTAAGTCCACCCCTTGATCGTTTATGTGTTGCACCTCTTTCCTGATGACCTGAGGCATCATGGGCCCACTAAGCAGGAAATAATTTACCCTTATGTTGTCAGTACACATCTACCTGAGACACTTGAACCATGGCAGTCAAATCTGCCTGTCCATTGTGGTGTTCTTCAGTGGCCTGACTCTTGGGTATGCGTGCATCTACAAGACATAGTCTTACAGTCAACTTCCCTACCTGAGCAATGATGTATTGCCACAGTTCAGCAGCCCAGATGGGTTTACCTCTGTGCTGCCAGTTGGCCTTTCTCCATTGGTCCAGCCACCCCCACAGAGCATTGTCACCATCTATGAGTCAGCGCAGAGGCAGAGTGCTGGGCATTTCTCTTGTTAAATGATATTAAAAGCCAGCTAGATGGCCTTCAGCCCTGCAACCTGACTTGATCCACCTTTTCCCTCAGCTTCTGTGCAGGACTCCATATAGCAGTTTTCCATTTTTAACGTATCCCTACAATATGGTCGGATCTGTCAAAGAAGAGAGTGTATCACTTTTTGTTTCTGGTACCTGATTACATGGTGGGGCCTCCTCACCATGTCACCTTTTCTTCTTCCTCTTCTGACATTAGTACAAAATTTTGACCTTTGGGCTAGCTCATGCTGACTTCCAAGATCCCTGAGCTATTGGGGTTTCCTATTCAAGCTCACTGTATGATCAACACAGTCCACTCCCTCTGTGTAGCATTAGTGGCATGATGTGTGGAAGAGACTTTCTCTTGGAACATCCAGCCCGGCACTGGCAGTCAGAGTGCCAGAAGAAGCTGTGCTTCAGTGCCGATCACTTCTGAAGCAGCTTGAACCCCTTCATAAGATGCCAGTATCCCTTTTTCAGTTGTTGTGTAGAAGGCCTTGAATGCTTTGTATTCCCAGCTCCAGAACCCCAAGAGTCATCCACCAGTGTCCCCTGATACTTTTTGGCAGAGACTCCAGGAAGGACCATTCTCCCCATCTGCAGTATAGAGCACAGTTTTCACATCTTGTCCTGTCCTGACTGACCCAAGAGCTACTGCATGAACAATCTCTTCTTTAATTTGTTCAGAAGCTTCTTGTTCAGGACCCCACTTAAAATAATTAATCTAAGAGAGCTTTCAACCTGAATGAGCTCTGGAATATGCATTCTCCAAAAGCCCACGGCTCCTAGGGAATCCTGTGTTTCCTTCTTGCTGGTTGGTGGGGACATAGATGCTGTTTTGTTGACCACATCCATTGAAACGAGATGACATCCATCTTAACATTTTATTCCTAAAGCCTGGATTTCCTGGCAGGTCCCTCGACCTTACTTTGCATTATGGCAAAACCAGCCTTCAGAAGGATTTGGATTATCTTCTCCCCTTTCTCAAAAACTTCCTGTGCTTTGTTGCCCCACACAATGATGTAATCAATATATTGCAAGTGTTATGAAGCCACACTCTCTTCCAGTGCAGTCTGGATCATTCTGTGGCAAATGGTGGGACGGTGCTTCCACCCCCGGGAAGTTGGTTCCAGGAGTACTGCATGTCCTTTTGGGTCCTTGAAATACCCACTCCTGAGGCAGTCTATGCCAAGGATGCACAAGACCTCTGGGCCAGTCACAATGGGGTGGTTTTGCCATTCATTCCTGTAAGACCCCAGAAGTCACTTGTTGAGTGTTTTGAAAGGGCTTGCAGGTTTTTTATGTACCCTGAATTAGAGAGCAATGAGAAATATCAACAAGAGATCAAAACAACAAAAACTTTACTGGCAAGCTTCAGAAAATCAGAGAATTTTGCCAAAAGTTTAGAGCAACATTCAGTCAACAGAAAACATTTTGCAAAGCCCTAACTTAGCAAACTCTGAGCCTGTTCGACTTAGCAAACTCCAACCAATCCAAGTTTAAGTTACTCAAACTTCAAGAAGACGTGAGAAGAAAGAGAGACAAGATGCAGAAAAAAGTGAATATAGCTACCACTGCTGGGTTTCAGCAGTCTTCCAGCTGATATAAAATCCAAGGGAAGGAAGGGCCAACATGTGCTTGCCTGGGGTACTGGCTTAAGTACCCTTTGGCTTTCCTGGGCCCTTCCTCCAGGCAAGGCTTCTGGTCTGGCAGCTGCTCAGGAGCTGTGTTAGGGGCTTCAGAGATAGGATGAGGAGCATTGCCTCCAGTGTGCCAGTGATTGGCAGTCAGTCTGGGGCTGGGATACAAGCTCGAGAGGCTGGGGTGTGGGGAGCAGGGCATCACCTCACCAGGGCAAGACCCAAACTGCCCCTTTGCCCACACACATGCCCAAAATGTTTTGAGCAAGCAATCTCCTCCAGTCTCTCCCAGTACCCAGTCAGGTTCAGTACATCTTCCAGTACAGTCAGCTGTTGGGATCCCCTGTCTTCCCAGAAACAGAGATGGATTCTGCCTGTACCTATCTTGTTGGCATCAGGGCATATTGTTCACTGATACCAGCTAAAGCTTTAAACTCCTTTGGGTCTGGTGTGAAAAGCCATCAGATCCACACAGTCCAAGAGATCTGATTATCTCTTTCCTCCACCTTGCTGGAGGCAGGACACCTCCAGTTCTGGTCATGGTATTTGTTGCTCACAAATAAATATGAGCTGAAGGTACTTCAAGAGGATTGGAAGCAACATCAGCCCTCCTGTTCTGTCTGAGGACTTGTCCACAGGAAACTGGAGTGGCATTTATCCTTGAAGGATTTCTTGTGGTGTTTGTTCTTCATCTCAACTCATGTACCCATGCTGCTAAGGCACAGGTGGGTTTTCCATTCCACTTCCTGATGTCCTCTCCATGGTCATGCAAGTAAAACCACAGGTTACCTTGTGGTGTGTACCCTCTCTCTGGAACAGGGGGTGCTTGCTCCCAATAGCAATGACTCTGGTCCACACTGGTGGGCCATGGGATATTTCAGGTCTAGCTTGTTCAAGTCTTTCAAATCTGTCTGCCATCTTGTACAGTCTTTCCACAGCTGAGGTGCAGGTTGATAGGGAGGAAAAGACATGATCTTCATATTGCCAGAGTCAGGGAGTCACCTGAAGCACTGTTTGTTCTTCTTTCATTGCCATTAATGCCAATGGGGTGTGATGATGCTGTGTTCTGCACAAACTTCTACCATATGGACTGTGTACACTGGACATCATCTGGAGCTACAGAGCACTGCTCTTTATTTAAATCCCTATAAATTACTTCTAGCACAGCTAATACTCTCAGGTACTGGATACCTTTCTCCATGGCATCCCCTCTGCTTGGATACACTATTAGATGATCCTTGAAAGAATACCCTTCCCTCTGCTTGACAGGAGTCACTTCCAGAAGCTGAGAGTTTCTGTCCTCTTCCCAATCCCCTTGTTAATACCTGCATCCTGTGACAGGGGTCCAGTTGCTTGGCTTCATT